CTGTTAGGCCAGGGAGGCACTGAAACAGGTTGCCCAAGGAAGTGGTAAATGCTCCATCATCCCTGGCAGTGTTCAAGGCTAGGCTGGACGGAGCCTTGGGTGACATGGTCTAGGATGAGGCATCCCTGCTAATGGCAGTGGGGTTGGAACTGGATGATCTTAAGGTTCTTTCCAACCCAAACCATTCTATGATTCTATGAAAGCATATGCATGTCAGCAGGTTTCTCCATTTATCGGAATTGGATGGCAAGAGACTTTAGGTGGAGGCACCTTGCTGCTGAGACTGGGTATCTTCTGAAGAAGACAAAAACACAGGTATGTAGGAGTGTCAATAATGCATCTTATGAATTTTAGAATACCAGTTTTCTTATCAGGCTTCAAAACTCCTTAAGGGATTATTTTCACCAATTTCAGCAGAGAACAAAAGAACTCCAAAACTATGAGAAAAGCCTAGCTGGCATTTTGATGTATTTTGTTATACTAAGCAGGCCAAGCTTGAGCTCATAAAGTTCAATTTACACTTGCAGTTCCTTTTCTATCACATGCAGAACACAGTCTTTTTTGATACATTCATTTTTGATTTTAGGAAATAATTCTAGGCCTGATTTGACAGTATGTTGCTTTTGGTGGTTGTCCTGGTTTTGGGTGGGATGTAGTTAGTGCTGTGTTTTGGCTTTATTCTGAGAGCAATGCTGATAACACACCGATGTTTTAGTTATTGCTATGCAGCCCTTACCCTGATCAAGGACTTTTCAGTCTCATGCTCTGCTAGTGAGGAGGGGCACAGGACAGGAAGCAGAGATGGGACACCAGACCCAAACTAGCCAAAGGGGTATTCCACACCACAGCACATCATGCCCAGTATGTAAACTGTGTGTGGAAAAGGGGGGTGTGGGAAAAGGGGGAAATTAGACCACCTCACACCAGTCCCCCAAAGGTATATTATAACACTAAGGAAATCTTAGGGTAAAATGCAGCTGCTGCTTCCAGGATGGGATGCGGTTGGCATGTACAGAATCTACCTGATGATAGTTTCCCAGGCAACCCTGCAACCTTGGCATATGCTAAAAGAAACTGAGGAGGGTGGAGGGGAGCAAAGGCCCCATGGCCAGGCTCTGCTATACTCCCTGCATGAGCAGGAACTTGAAGGATAAGCTGCACAGCACCTGCCAAACAAGGAAACTAGATTTGTATTTGTAAAAGGAAAGCAAGAGGATTTTACTCCCATCAGTAACTGATAGTATGATAGTATGTATGACTAGAGTCACTCAAGCTCCATAGATGTATAATTAAAAAAATCGAAAGCAGTGGTACTATAGAAAAGCCTGAATGTATACAAGGGCCTCCTAAAAGGTCAGGATGAACAACGCTGACAAACAAAGAAGTGATAGTGGAAGAGGAAGTTTTGCCTTTGTGTGGGCAGATTAAGAAACAGAGCTAATGAATCTCTGATCAGGAAAGACTATCCTTGAAGCCTGGTACATCTTGGAAGCACACAGACATTGTCAACTTATGGCTTCACATATCAGCAAAACATGACTAGGCTGTCCTTTTGATGAACATGATGTAACCTTATGCAAATTAACTGACCACTCTGTACATGGTGGGAGGGTCATGGGGAATTACAAACCTGAATCAAAATATATACGTAAGTGAAATTAGGAAAGGGAAAGCACAAAAGACTCCATTGTAACTTCTGGAATCAGGTGATGGTCTGAACCTGTCTTCTCCCCCATAGGGACACCTACTGGGTAGGGGTTTGATCTCATGTATATTAAATGGCTAACACTAGCTGTTATTAGTGGTTATAGTCTGGCTGTGTTTCACTTCAAGCTTCTTTTTGCAGACGGTCCCTATTACCAGCAATCCATGAACCTTAATTTGTCATGATTTAGTACAATAGAGTATTATATTGTACTTTAGTCATTAAATTGTTCTTATCTCAACGGTAGGGTTTACATTCTTTTGATTCTCCTCCCCATCTCACCCAGGAAGAGAGTAAGGTGAGGGGTGAGCAAACGGCTGAATGGTACTGAGTTACCGGCTGGATTTAAACCACAACAGTGGTATTCTCTTATCTTCTTTTTGCTTGGTGCTTGTTCAGCATGTTAAGCTGTCTTTACATATAATGTTTCTGTAAAATCTCTAAGTGTGTCAATATTAACAGAGACAGCATACTACTGTAAGTGATCACAAAAAAGTGCTTTTAAACTCCTTTTTTTTCTTTTCCCTTCCACCTCTATCTCAATAGACATCACCAGAATGTATAAAATACTCATGAGACTTCCTTCAAAACAAAGATGACTACAGAGCATACCTGTCAGAGGGTAACTGTGCCCCAGCAAGTTTGACTACAGTAGGAAATATATCCATGTTACTTGTTGGTTCATCAAGATAGGCACCAGGTTGTATTGCTCCAGGCCAACGGAGAAGCCCTGGTATACGAATACCTCCTTCCCAGTTCGTTGATTTTCCACCTGAAAAATGCAAGCTTTGTTTGTTAAGAAATCAATTTCTTCTTAGAAAAATACCCACCCCATAAGATTCAGTTTCCAAATATTAAGCATTCTGTCTAGATAGAATCTTTCCATTGAATGTTTTATCTTATTTTCAATTTGCTAGGTTTAGATTTTCCACATACAATCAGTACTTTTCTCATAGTAAATCTACTAATGTGTATTAAACTGAGCTTATAAAACATATTTAGTTTACAAACAAAATTAAATAACAGATGTAGGAGATAAAAAGGCACTTTGCAGGCATCTTAAGAGAGAATTTTGCCTAGTGTGACGCATAGCTGCATAGAGATACAACCAAAAACCAGGAATTGAAAATAAATTGAGGTATGCCTATATGTCTGAGGTATGAACCCAGAGAAGATATAGGATATTTTAAAGATATAAGATATAAAGATGTAAGATATTTTAATAAAGATATTAAAAGGGTGCCTAATGACTTTAGATAGAAGAAAGTACTAATTTAAGTATGTTACTGAATTCTCCAATGTAATATATTAGGAAGAAATTAGCTGCAATGATGGTAGATCTCAGTCTATTGTGAATCCTTTTTGACTTCTAAACAGACTCAGTTGCACCAAATGCACTATCAACTGATTGCATTCGACACTATATTGCAGCCATTTTCTTTGTTTCTACAAAATCCATCACTGCCCAGCCCTCCTGAAATCCTTGCAGAAGGGCAATGTTTTTGTCATATTAATACTATTACTTAATATATGATTTTAACAGCTCTATATGAAGAGCTATTGCATGTTCTATTATTAATGTCTTACAGTCGTGATTATGTAGAGCACTTCAGGTTGATCTTTGAAATTAATATCACTTGGGAAAAAAAAATCTGGTAAACAGGTGGGGTTTGGATGTGTTTAAGTATGGTCTGGGCCAGGCATTCACAAGTAAATGAGATTGGTTTATATAATAGAAATGTCTGAAAGAAGAGAAATATATCTGTTAAACCCCTACCATTAACTGAATCAAACAGCAATTCAGGGTTCTGACAGAAACTACTAGAAGCCTATTTTTTCATATGTTCCTTTTTCAAGTAAAAAACCCACAAAAGAACAAAATATTACAACAAAGTACTTCAACAGTTCTGTCTCCTCAGCCTCTAGACCTTCGAAACGCCACACAGATGTTAACATATTTGGTGTCAAGCCCAGGCCTTGCCATACATGCTGTCTACCTTACTGACTCCTCAATGATCTTTTCTATTTCAGCATTGAGAGATTTAGAATGCAACTGTTTTTCTGCAGCTTTTTCACTGCTCACTAAGGTTTTCTACAGGTTTTTCACTGTTCATAAAGGTAAGTAGCAACTTCAAGAGAGAAAATTCTCTTTTGCATAGATTTTTACCCTGTATATGTATATATATATAATATACGTATATGTGTATGTACACACAGTCTTGTGGCTGAAAAATCTTCAGCTCATGATTCTTTATTATAAGAGATTTTTGGTTACTTTTTTTCATGGGCTTTATCAGAATTCATAATATTGAATAGTCAGGGACACATAATTATCTAGTCTGACATCAGAAAACAGACTTTCTAATATCCAACATTACATCAAGCAACAATCTTTGATTAAGTTGTTTTTGGAAAGCAGTGCCAAGTTCAGAGCTCAGAAAGACTATCTGTCTTTTAAAGCAGCCTGAAAAACTTACTCTTGTCACTGCATCAGATGCAATTCCATTCTCACAATAGCGTGTGGTTTTGTCGTGGTTTAAGCTGTTCTCAGGCTAAAGTCAAAAACACAGCACTGCTCCAGCTACTAAGAAGAAAAAAGACTGTTACAGCTGAACCCAGGACAAGTCTCATACCCTAAAGCTCAGGAATGAGATACATGCATTATTTTGTTTACACTGTTGTAGAAAATCCGATTTTCAAAACAAAATCTAAAGAAAACATAGATTTATGTTTATTAAGGTGTTGTTTGGTGAGGTCTAAAACACCTGTCACCTAGCAGAAAGAAATGTTCACCCAACAGTACACCGATTGGTTGTAAATACAGTTGAGACCAGGGTAGATGTCAAAGGACTGTAGAAAAGATGGATCTACCCATGTACAACAGTCATTAGGTTTTTAAAAGTTTGGTAGGGATTATGTGCTACTTAGCAGGAAAGTGTTAAGATTAATATCCTGACTGAACTATGGTTCACAGAAAATCCTTCTGAGAAGGGAGTAGTTAAATCTGAAAGTTTTAGTTAAATCTGTATTTTCTTGTAAGAACACAAGAAAACTACAAGGACATAAAATTACAGGTATCCTCAAATTCAGATATTTTCAGTGAATAGTTATGCTGGGGAGATGATTTAGATCATGAGATGGATCCTAGTTCTCTGTACACATAACAGCAGCTTGTTGGATGGACAGTATGGACAGACAGAAAACTAAGCTGATCTATACCATAGGCAGCTTTAAGTGCAAGGTTTCCTTTATTTCTGTATACCTGTCTGAACCTAGTAACAGTGCTAGCTAAATTGGATTGTTTAAATAAATTCTTGTTTTATTGTTGCCTTCTGTGTAATCTGAAGACAGACCAATTTCAAAGTAAGTGGAATTCCATTCCCACACGTTGACATTCTTAAAACCTAGATATTGAATCACTTTGACAGCTCCTAGGTTCACAGCACAATTTTCTTGAATCATTACAGAACAGGACAAAAAATTTGCACGTTACCCAAGCACAAAGGTTGCACTCAGCAAACTCATCCTCCCTGCTGTGAGATACAAAAAGCAAAATGGACTCCACAGCAGGGCTATCTCCTCACTTACCTCGATGAAGAAGTGACAGCTGTTCTCCTATCAAAGGACTAATTGGAGCATAATTTCTTTATATCTCTGGAGGTTAGGAATAGCAGGGAACCAGGACAGGAATTACAGGTCCATTGCAGAAGACTGTCTTCTATCATCTATGCCTACATGGTGTTCATCTTCATTAGAACTAGTTTTACTGACATCACTAGAGTTGCTTAATGATATTATATGATTGCAAATCCCTTGATATACATTGTCTTTAAAGCTCTAGCTGTTAAACATTGTTCAAGCTATCCTCATTCTTTTTTCCTTAAAAAAAAAACAACCAAGGTTTCACTACTAATGCTTGAAACATGAAGCAAACATCCAAATAGCTAAAATATTAGCAGGAAAATAAAAAATATCACAGTAGGTCATTATTTTAAAATAAAATATTTTGATATTTAAGGATCTGACTCATTAGTTTTGTATTATGCTTGGACTTGGCAACACCAAAGCAGAGAAAAGGCAGCATCCTAGTAGTCTTTATGCCCAGGAAACTCTAGGCAGCCTAGCTATATATTATTTCTGTTCTCTTAAATTCTTCTAAAAATATTTTTAAAACAGCATAAAACACCCCGGGCTGTATTTTCATGCTTAGCTGTCTATGCTTTCTGAGTAGTTGAACCCTTCAGTGCGATATTGAACAATAGCCTACATTTACCTTTCCTGAAAAATCTGCAAGAGCAGGCAAAGTACAGACATAACTCTCTGCAGTCATCCACAACATGATGCCAAATTTCCATTTTAACCTCATTTTAAATCTTAGCTAGAAGAATATCTCTTTTTTTCTCCCTCTTGTTTAAATTGACTGCTATTACCTAACTCTGGGAATAGAGCTTTTACAAAAGATGATATATAAAGGGGAACTCTGTGGTATATCACTATTAATATTTTGAATCATGAGTGATGAAAACTATTTAAAATAACTTTCTTAGATCATTTGGGCTATAACTATACTGCCCTTTCTGTCCTTCTTATATTCTTCTAAAAACAAAGCTTCCAAACCCATTTATTTTTTTGAATGATAATAAAATACAAGGAAATTAATTATTCTACCCACCTGTAGTGGACTTTTTGCTACTATTGCTTACCTTAGAAAATGATCAAGCAATTTCTTTTCAGTGGCAAGCTCACTCTTTATTTTACTGATTTTTAATCTGGTTTATATACCTTTGTTAATTTTCAACTTGAGCTGTTCTTGTACAGGTGAATGTAATAGACATAACCTCATTTGAATGCATCTGACCTGTCTTCCAATCAAATGAGATGGTTTCTCAAGATACTTTCTGTTTCAGTTAAAATTACAAGATGGGTTGATTATATAAAATATGGATTGCTTCATAGAAAATATAGACATACAGTACATTTGAAACAAAAGGTCAGTTCCCGCTCTCATTAAAATCCAACTAATACCACTAGATATGCAATAGCACAGTTCCTGAGGCCAGAGTAATGGTCAGCTTGATTTTTTTCTGTGACTTACAGATAGGAAAAGGTTTACTATTAGCTTCAAGAAACACTGCTGAATGAACTTATTACTGCAGTATATGAAATTGTATAAAAATAATAAATAAAATATTGAATAATTGATTCTTCCAGTCCTTGTTCAGTGCTCACAGATCCGTAGTAGATGTAAAAATCAGGGTCTAAGTCCTTAAGACACATTCATTATTATTTTTCATGGATATTAACAAAGTATCTATGAATATACCTATTTCTAAGGCACAAAGTACTTAGAATGAATGTTGTTCAAATGATTTGCCATTATCAGTGTTTGACTCCATTAGCAGAACTCATGACCCACTCTAAGAGCATGACAATAGTCAAGTGCCTGTATTCATTGTGCTAAATGCTTCACAAGTACAAAGAAAGACAATTTTTCTAATATGCAGGTCCAAGGTACAGGCAAAATATATTTAGCTACATAACGAAAAGAAGCTGACAGTAAGAGTACTAAGAGATACAAAGAGACTCCATAGAAAACCGCATATGTAACAGAATGGAATAGATATCAACAGCTGACAATGAGGGAAGATTTCTAGTGTCTGAATATGTACCAGTGAAATAGTATAATGGTAAAAGGTATGGAGAAAATATTTTAATGCCTTCACTGTTTACTGCTATAAAGTACATAAAGGAAGAGGTGCATTTTATAACACA